CATTTTCTGTGCTTCAGTTTTGAATTGAAGCATTTACTGTGCTTCAGTTTTGAATTGAAGCATTTTCTGTGCTTCAATTTTGAATTGAAGCATTTTCTGTGCTTCAGTTTTGAATTGAAGCATTTACTGTGCTTCAGTTTTAATTGAAGCATTTTCTGTGCTTCAGTTTTGAATTGAAGCATTTTCTATGCTTCAGTTTTAATTGAAGCATTTTCTGTGCTTCAGTTTTGAATTGAAGCATTTACTGTGCTTCAGTTTTGAATTGAAGCATTTTCTGTGCTTCAGTTTTGAATTGAAGCATTTTCTGTGCTTCAGTTTTGAATTGAAGCATTTACTGTGCTTCAGTTTTGAATTGAAGCATTTTCTGTGCTTCAGTTTTAATTGAAGCATTTTCTGTGCTTCAGTTTTGAATTGAAGCATTTACTGTGCTTCAGTTTTGAATTGAAGCATTTTCTGTGCTTCAGTTTTGAATTGAAGCATTTTCTGTGCTTCAGTTTTGAATTGAAGCATTTTCTGTGCTTCAGTTTTGAATTGAAGCATTTTCTGTGCTTCAGTTTTGAATTGAAGCATTTTCTATGCTTCAGTTTTAATTGAAGCATTTTCTGTGCTTCAGTTTTGAATTGAAGCATTTACTGTGCTTCAGTTTTGAATTGAAGCATTTTCTGTGCTTCAGTTTTAATTGAAGCATTTTCTGTGCTTCAGTTTTGAATTGAAGCATTTACTGTGCTTCAGTTTTGAATTGAAGCATTTTCTGTGCTTCAGTTTTAATTGAAGCATTTTCTGTGCTTCAGTTTTGAATTGAAGCATTTACTGTGCTTCAGTTTTGAATTGAAGCATTTTCTGTGCTTCAGTTTTGAATTGAAGCATTTTCTGTGCTTCAGTTTTGAATTGAAGCATTTACTGTGCTTCAGTTTTAATTGAAGCATTTTCTGTGCTTCAGTTTTGAATTGAAGCATTTTCTATGCTTCAGTTTTAATTGAAGCATTTTCTGTGCTTCAGTTTTGAATTGAAGCATTTACTGTGCTTCAGTTTTGAATTGAAGCATTTTCTGTGCTTCAGTTTTGAATTGAAGCATTTTCTGTGCTTCAGTTTTGAATTGAAGCATTTACTGTGCTTCAGTTTTGAATTGAAGCATTTTCTGTGCTTCAGTTTTAATTGAAGCATTTTCTGTGCTTCAGTTTTGAATTGAAGCATTTACTGTGCTTCAGTTTTAATTGAAGCATTTTCTGTGCTTCAGTTTTGAATTGAAGCATTTTCTATGCTTCAGTTTTAATTGAAGCATTTTCTGTGCTTCAGTTTTGAATTGAAGCATTTACTGTGCTTCAGTTTTGAATTGAAGCATTTTCTGTGCTTCAGTTTTGAATTGAAGCATTTTCTGTGCTTCAGTTTTGAATTGAAGCATTTACTGTGCTTCAGTTTTGAATTGAAGCATTTTCTGTGCTTCAGTTTTAATTGAAGCATTTTCTGTGCTTCAGTTTTGAATTGAAGCATTTACTGTGCTTCAGTTTTGAATTGAAGCATTTTCTGTGCTTCAGTTTTGAATTGAAGCATTTTCTGTGCTTCAGTTTTGAATTGAAGCATTTACTGTGCTTCAGTTTTAATTGAAGCATTTTCTGTGCTTCAGTTTTGAATTGAAGCATTTTCTATGCTTCAGTTTTAATTGAAGCATTTTCTGTGCTTCAGTTTTGAATTGAAGCATTTACTGTGCTTCAGTTTTGAATTGAAGCATTTTCTGTGCTTCAGTTTTGAAATGAAGCATTTTCTGTGCTTCAGTTTTGAATTGAAGCATTTACTGTGCTTCAGTTTTGAATTGAAGCATTTTCTGTGCTTCAGTTTTAATTGAAGCATTTTCTGTGCTTCAGTTTTGAATTGAAGCATTTACTGTGCTTCAGTTTTGAATTGAAGCATTTTCTGTGCTTCAGTTTTGAATTGAAGCATTTTCTGTGCTTCAGTTTTGAATTGAAGCATTTACTGTGCTTCAGTTTTAATTGAAGCATTTTCTGTGCTTCAGTTTTGAATTGAAGCATTTTCTATGCTTCAGTTTTAATTGAAGCATTTTCTGTGCTTCAGTTTTGAATTGAAGCATTTACTGTGCTTCAGTTTTGAATTGAAGCATTTTCTGTGCTTCAGTTTTGAATTGAAGCATTTTCTGTGCTTCAGTTTTGAATTGAAGCATTTACTGTGCTTCAGCTTTGAATTGAAGCATTTTCTGTGCTTCAGTTTTAATTGAAGCATTTTCTGTGCTTCAGTTTTGAATTGAAGCATTTACTGTGCTTCAGTTTTGAATTGAAGCATTTTCTGTGCTTCAGTTTTGAATTGAAGCATTTTCTGTGCTTCAGTTTTGAATTGAAGCATTTACTGTGCTTCAGTTTTGAATTGAAGCATTTTCTTTGCTTCAGTTTTGAATTGAAGCATTTTCTGTGCTTCAGTTTTGAATTGAAGCATTTTCTGTGCTTCAGTTTTGAATTGAAGCATTTTCTGTGCTTCAGTTTTAATTGAAGCATTTTCTGTGCTTCAGTTCTAATTGAAGCATTTACTGTGCTTCAGTTTTGAATTGAAGCATTTACTGTGCTTCAGTTTTGAATTGAAGCATTTTCTGTGCTTCAGTTTTGAATTGAAGCATTTACTGTGCTTCAGTTTTGAATTGAAGCATTTTCTGTGCTTCAGTTTTGAATTGAAGCATTTTCTGTGCTTCAGTTTTGAATTGAAGCATTTACTGTGCTTCAGTTTTGAATTGAAGCATTTACTGTGCTTCAGTTTTGAATTGAAGCATTTTCTGTGCTTCAGTTTTGAATTGAAGCATTTTCTGTGCTTCAGCCACATTAATTACTCCACATCCTCTGCATTACAATCCCCCTATATCTTTGCTAATCTCTGATATACCTCTTAATTACTTATAATCTTTCGATATTCCTACTGGGCCTCAACTGAAATATATACCACAAGATACTCAACGTAGGAACTTTTGTTGCCGTTTTATGAGTTTTACGATTATTAGCTATTATGTTTTTGTCAATATTTTAGTAAAATTTTGAAATGTTAATTTTTTACTTTCTACAAAAATAAATGATTTTAATTTTACAAAATAAATATTTAATTTTTATTCTGCTTATCATATTTTCCTCTTAAAATTTCCATTTGTTGTTGTGGAGTTAAAAATATTGTTGTAAAATGTGTATATGCTTCTAACTAAAATTTAAGAATTAAATTTGTATTATTTACTAAATACCAGGGCTGGGCGAAATCTAAAAATAAAAAGCAAAATGCGGAATTCGAAACCTTTTAAAAAAATAAACGGTGAAATTCTGAATATGAGGTGTACGGAATTTTCGTCTCTGGAACATTCGTCTCCAAGGTTTTTCGGAACTTTCGTCTCCAACATTTTCGGAATTTTCGTCTCCAGCGGAATATTCGTCACCAAGACGAAAAAACGGAATATTCGTCACTGGCATTTTAGGCGCCTGGAATTTGGGCGTCGGAGTGAATTTTTTGATTTATACAAAAATAACACAAAATCAAACTACGAAAGCCTATAAAGCTATAGAATACAAATAGATCTGGACAAAATTTGTCATTTGAAACAGCTCGTCGAACTATGTCAAACGACTCCAAAATCATCCCGATTCAATCATTCTTAACAAAATTATGATTAATTGAATCTCGCTTGAACAAATAATTTTGTGCTGATACATAGCGGGTAGGTCGGCATTTCAAATTTGAAAATCAGTAAAAAAGGGATAGGTTTATGTTACTGTTGTAGAACCCAGCGACCGTTGACTCCCTCGAGGCGCGTGCCGCAAAATCCCGCGCGAAGCGCGGGATTTTGCACAAACGCCTTGCCGATGCCCATAGGTTTACGTAGTTTGATTTTGTGTTATTTTTGTATAAATCAAAAAATTCACTCCGACGCCCAAATTCCAGGCGCCTAAAATGCCAGTGACGAATATTCCGTTTTTTCGTCTTGGTGACGAATATTCCGCTGGAGACGAAAATTCCGAAAATGTTGGAGACGAAAGTTCCGAAAAACCTTGGAGACGAATGTTCCAGAGACGAAAATTCCGGCACCCGAATATGAAACTTTTCGTCACTAAAAATGTGAAATATGCAGATGCGAAACGCTAAAATGCGAAATCAATTAAAAATTCTAGAATAATTTTGGATATAGTATAGTTTACCTTAGGAAAATTTCGATAAGGAACATATACCATTCAATTTGTCTCGGCGGGCTGAGTCGAACGATACCACTCTCTATTCACGGAAATGCCTGTGAACCGAGATATAATTCCCCGAATATCGAAAAACCATAGGGGGTATTGCAAACTCATTGCAATTTTAGATAAAATTGGCCATTTAACTGAATTGTTAACAGTGTTTAGAATTCTGAAAATTGCTCGTACTCGTACCTTTGTACAGATTTCCATTTTTTGCGCCAAAAGAGAAAATTTTAAGAGTTTTGGAGTTCCTTAAGTCAGATTTCTTCTATTTTCTACGACGAAGGCAAAAATTTTTGAAAATTCATGAATAAATTAAGATTTTTATAGTTTTTTACGTCTAATAATATTTATAAAACAAATTTACAATTTAAAATTAAAATCAAAGTTTAAAAACATTTATTTTTGGAAGGAAAAATTGTTTAAGTCTTATTTCCTGTGTCTGGATTCGAACTCAGCCCCAAAAAACACCAACACCAAAAACACAACGAATTCAGTCAACCTAATCACTCCACTATAGCAACAAATTTCGCATTTGGTCCAAAAAGCGAAATACGTAACTTTTCGCACTAAAAAATGTCAAATATGCGAAGGATGCGAAAATGCGAAATCGCCCAGCCCTGTTAACCAACAATTTAAACTAAATTCTGGTAATATTCGAATAATAATTGTAACTATATTCGGCTCAGCCCCGAAGCTTATCAAAAAAATTTTAAAAATTAATTTGCTATTACTATTCTAAAATCTTGCTTAAAATTTAAATTATTTATTTTTACTATTATTTTTATTTTATTTATATGTATTTAAAACTATATTTTTCTTATTTCTATCTCTCACCTTCAAAGTATGGTCTTGGCCTTTAATTTCGCTTACATATTTTCCATCACAATCTTTAAATCCAACAATTTCATCAGTTTCAGAATAAATTGTATAAATTCTTTTACTTGCCTCAAATCTTGATCTAAAATTTAAAAATTTTTATTTAATAATTATTTTTTACCTATTTTCTCCATTTAAATCATCAAGAAAACGAGAATGACATCTTATTCCAGTCACATTATTGCAAGGTCCATATCCATGTTTATAACTATATTGAAGTAATTTACAAAGATAAACAGCATCTCTGTTAGCACCAGCTACTCCAAGAAATGAATGAACTAAATGAGTAAGAGGAGGGCCTAATTCCTCTTCTGTATCAACACAACGGCCACCGAGTATTGCCTTTTTAAAGAAATATTACAATTTAGTATAAATTACTTTAAGAAATACTTTTCTTGCAATTGGACTCCCCATACTATATCCAATAACATCAACCTGTGAATTTGAATAGGTCGTCACTGCTTGAAGCATTAGCCTTATCTAAAAAATTTTTGACACTATTCTAGAATATATATTTATGAGATCAACATTTAATAAATATGGAAAGTGTTATGCCTAATGAATATTCAACCCTAGCTAATTATCTGTAAAATAAACAGAAAATTGAATAAATACAGAAATATCATATATACTTATTTTGTCATTTATCACTGACCATCTCTATATCCACTCGTCATTTCCAAATTATTTCGAGGGGAAATATTTTGTATTTGAATTAACTTTATAAACCTTAACTGACCAATTTTACATGTTTACACTCCATTGAATCTTTTGTCCAATGTAGCTTTCCAAATGAATAACTGGTTCCAAAAACTTCATTATCACTATATCCGTTAAACAAAAAATATTGTCTTATATTTTCGTATTCACCAGCTATTGTACTTAATCCGTGGACTAAAATAACAGGTCTATGATGTATTCTAGACTTTTTAAATAATTTGTCTATATCAAAATTACTGCTGCGTTCTAGCCTTATTTCTCCACCTCCAAAACTTCCTCCTGGGCCTAAATCTCTTCTTGCTAATAATTTCTCTGCTTCATTTCCGAAATTTTCTCGGATGAAAGAACTAAATGGTTCTGATATTGTGCCAAATACGTTGTTACTTAACTGGAATAGATAAATAAAAATAAGATAATTTTTGAAGTAAATACTGTTAATTGATTGCATATTTGAAATGAATGTTTGTTTTTTAATTTTATTTATTTTCTTAAATTATATATGTTAATTAGACTAATAGTTTTTTTATAAAATTAGAAAATTTAACAAAAGTAGTGTTGGCAAGATTTAAATAAAGTCTCGTTTTCCTTACAGTAATCGTGTATAAGAGCTCTCCTTCGGGTATAAGAGAAGCCTTCGTGATATAAGAGAAGCCTATAAATCTCTATTTTTGTTAACTTAAGCATCTGAAAGACCGAATTGTATTTTTTTGCTTTTTTTCAAGTACGCCTAATTACGAGGTCAAAAAAGGCAGGTATGTATGAAATACTAGTTCGATCTCAAATATTTTGATGGTACGAAATTTATCGGCACTTTTAAATAAACAAATATATAAATTATATAAAATCATGAGTTGCTAAATAATCTAATTAAGGTTTCTTTTTTTAAAGGCCATAAATTTTAAAACATTAAACATTAACTATAATTTCAACAAAAAATTAAATATAAACTATAATATTTGAAAACTTGTTTAAATAAATTTTTAAACATTTTCGGTACTTTTTTCGGTTTAATTTGCAATAATTTTATTTATTTAATCTGGCTGAGACGGAAATAAAACTTAAAGAAATGATTGATTAAATTTAGTTTTGAAATAATTTAATTAAAAAATATATAAACTACAAAATAAATTAAATAAATATTTTTAATAAAATTCCCAAATATATTTTAAAATAATTTATTTACCAAATAAGTCTGTGGTTATTTTAAATATTATTTTGAAAATAAATCTGCTTTTAAACTGTTTATAAAAGAATTAAAATTATTATAGAACGAATATTATTTATTTGTTAGCTCCAATCCTTTTTATATTATGTACAATGATTAAATAAATATAAAATAAATAAAATATTATAATACTATTAAAGTATTATTTATTTACATTAAATCGAGGCGTTTCTTTTTTTGGAATAAATTCCGTTAAATTATGCATAAAGTTATTGATAAAAATGATACAAAAAAGTATTAAGGTTTGTCCAAAATAGCTAATAATTGTCATTAAATGATACAGAATTTGGAAAAAATTATGGCAAATTAAACAAAAGTTTACAAAAATAAGAAAATATTTTTTATTCTCCATTTATTATTGCTGAAAGATTAAATATTATTTATTTATTTTATACTTTCTTTTATCAAATATATGTATTTTTAATTTATTATCAATAAAAAAAATACAATAAATTATAATTTATATTGCTTGTAAATAACAATGTACCTATGTATACAAATAAAAATTATGGAATACCTATGATGATTGTCTTCATTTGATGTATAATTTAAATTTTTTATATTTATGTCCAAATAAATATTTATTTTATTTATTTATAAATTTTACATTTTATAAATATTTAAAATCAAAAACAAAATAAAATTTAATTAAATATAAAAATAAATATAATTACTATATTTTCTGTCAAAATTTGCAAGACAAAAGGACTCATACAAAAATTTACTAAGAAATTTTTTGAGTAACAAACACCTGCCAAATTCTTTCTAAAATAAAATCCAGAAATAAAGATACTCCAAAATGTTTTTAAGAAAAATTAGAGTGTAAAAGCCATCTGTACATATTAATGAGTCCTTATGGCTATTGAATAAGACATATGCTTTTAATTCTAACAAAAACATCTTTTGAATAATTTTATTTTTAATTTTCTCCTGATCTGTACGAAAATGAATCGAAACAGATTTCACAAAATTCAAACAAAAATAGTACCAAAAGGTATCAAAATTTCAGATAGATATGTATTATTGTGATTTTATTTGAAAAGTTAAAAAAATTTAAGAAAATTTATTTTGTAAAAATTGCAACATTAATGAATCCATTTGTCATAAATCAAAAAATTGAACAATTTGATGACTTTCAATAAAAAGTATTTGCTGTACCCTGCTAATTTAATATTTAATTTAATAAAAAAATAAATACAATACATAATAGGTGTTAATAATAAAATAAAATTTCCAAAACGTTCAGCTATTTTAAATTTTAAATTAAATTTAAATTAAATTTATTATTGGGATTTTAATAAAATAAAAATAAAAAAAAGGAAATTATTTTTGAAAATAAATTATTATTTTTTTTCCTAAAAATAATTGATGATTTTATTTTCTATTATTCTTAAAATTTACTAAAAATAGATAAAATTATTATTTTTTTATTTTTTAACTTAATGATTTTTTTAATTCTTTAGGTATAAAGGTAATAATAAAATAAATTGTAATAAATAATTAAAAAATTTTAAATTTAATCATGATTTCAATTAAATTTTTTTATAAAGGATGGACTAATTACTATTGTTAAAGAATTTTATAAATTAATTTAATAGAGAATAAATTAATATACCGTATATCCTTTAATAACTATACTTGGTAATTATTGTTTCGACCTTCCGCTGGAGGGAGTAATTAATCAAGGGAGGGTAATTATACGAGGTTTGAAATTTGAACGTGTTTTAGGGCATTTATTAGTGGGTAATTATTGTTTCAATCTATCGCTTTAGGGTGTAATTAATGGAAGTGGGGGTAATTATTTGAGGGAGGGCAATTAATGCAGGTTATACGATAAATTACTTTATAAATAAAGTAAAGTCACTATAAATTCATAAAAATATTTTTCTCTAACAAATTTTATGAAATTTATTATTTTGTTTATCCATTATATGTTAATGATTTGATTTTCTCAAGATTAGCAGAAGATAGGACTTTTAAAAAATTTGTTCAATACACTGATATAGATTTAATATGTAATTTTTGAAAATGGCTGTAAAAATGGCTTAATTTTTTATTTTATCTTTTATCAGTTTTAATTTAATTTTGTGAATTTATTTAAATTTTTTATTTAATTTAATTTAATATTTGACGATTATTCATCATTTAATATCATTAAATATTGATGATTTTTAATTTAAATTAATTAACGGAAATATTTATTTTTTTAATGAAATTCATACATTTATTCTGTTCATTTTAAATTAAATAAAATAATTTATTTTATAACGGATTAATCACATTAGGCATTAACCAATTAATAAAATAAATTTATGCCACACATATAATTTATACCACACATATGTTAGTGATGCTTTTCATTAAAAAATAACTTTATTATTTTTTTATTTTTCTCAAATTTATTTTTAAAATATTTTTGAAAAATGTAAAGCTTATAGAGTTAAGTGAATATGCTAGGTTCGATAAAAATTTCTCATAATTTATTTTTATTAGAAGCATAACCTATTTTAAATGGTAATTAAATTTCTTTAATTTTTTTTTGATTTAAATTTATTTTTTAAAAAATTATATTAATAATGAATTTTCTAATTTTATTATTATCATTATTATTCAATGCAGCATTAGGGGGCAATCCATTGATAAAATGGAGTGGATCCATCACACAAGACATCCAAAAAGTGATTAATTCTTGCTCAAGGTAAATTTGCTTATAAAAAATAAATTAACTTAAAAAAACAAATAAAATAGTAATTAAAATTAATTAAGTGTCATCATTTGTTATGATATATCTGCTAAGGGAAATTTTAAGACAAACGAACGTTTCGACATAAAAAGCAATAATTCTAAAGAGAAAATATGTAAAGAATCAAATGCTTGGCGAGGTATTGAAGTTAAACAAGTTGATGGTTCTTTACATATAAAGGCCGATATCTACCCTAGCAAGTAATTAATTATTTTAATTAATAGCCTTTAAGATAAAATAAATTTTTTAAGCTATATTATGAAGTTAAAAAGTGTTGGTACACTCGATTTTTTGAAGTTTCTTAAAGGAGGAAAAGAATATGCAAGTTAGTTTTTTAATTAATTTAAATTAAATTAATCAACAAAAATAACTTTAAATAAAAATTAATATTTTGGAAAAATGAAAATTTTTTAAAAAGATAATTTTTTAAAATATTTTAATAGAGAAAATATATGATGCAAGCATTATTGACAAAGAATATATCAATTTAATGAAAAACAATCAAGATCCATTGCTTTCTGAATTTTCTGGGGCGTTCATGCTTAAGATTAGCATGATTGCTGGAAATGGTGATTCTTGGATTTCTTCTGTTTGCGAAAAGGTAAAGAGTACAATTGTGTTGATTTGTTAACAGTAGTACGCTATAACTTCAAAAAATGTGAACCGATTTAAAAGTTCTTGGTAGGTACTAGCTGATAATCGACCTCTATAAAGATAATAAATTTAATGGATTAATTAAATTAAAATTTTTTCAGACTGCGAATAAAATTGTACCAACGACTACAACAACAAAATTAACAACGACTACAACAACAACATTAAAAGCAACGACAACACCAACAACTTTAAAAACAACATCAACATCAACTACTACTACTATGACGACCACTAAAGGTAACACTTTTTAATTGAAAAATTAACTCAATTATTTAAGGAAAACATTGTGAACTCAAGAGTAGTCCTTCTGATTTTAATTTATATGGTTGCCAGTAAGTTGAATTTTTTTTATTTTCTCTCGAAATTATTTTTTTTCAGTTGCTCAAGCCTTTGGAATAATACCGATATTGACCATGATGTTCGTGCGCCTGTTGATGATGTTGATCAGTTCGATATTATTTTCTATATTTTAATACATAACCAAATAAAAAATCAAAAATAGTTTAATCATAGTGAATTAAGAAATATAAAAAAACAAAGAACAGGGTAGCATCGAACCTCCAACCCCTAGGCCAACTCCAAATGCTTTACTGACTAAGCCACAGAGACAACTAACTCTTTCTTCTTTTAATAATTAGGGTTGTTCCTCGACGGGGGGGGGGGGAGGGCCACGGGGAACAACCTTATTAATAATCTTAACCCCTTGCCTAAGTTGCAAGCTAGCTTAGTTTAATCTACCTTTAAAGTAATTTAATAATTTTTACAGTTGTTGTAAAACTCGTACTAAATGTTTTTTGAAAATTAAACAAAAGAAAGAATGTGCCAACATTAAAATTTTTGAAATTTATGAGCGAAAATTAAATCAAACAAATTATGATTGGCATTGTCAATGGAATAATAAAGGAAAAGCCAACATGCATTGCATTGATAAGGAAACTTGTAATAAAGAAATCTGCAATTGTGATAAGTAAGTCAATGCAATGCATTTTGGCTTAAATTGAATTTAAAAAAATTATTTATTAAATTGAATTAAACTAAACTTTATTTTTGATCTAGTTTTGGGGTAATTTTATGATATAATTAAGATAGATGCTTTTTAAATAATTTCTTATAATTAAGAAAATTGACTGAGTGCCTAGCCGAGTTTGATAAACCTAACGTTAAGCAGATTTGCTGGAATCTCCTCATGTCTAAAGAAGATGGCGAAAATTCACCTTTAAAAATTGTCAATTCTAAAATTAATGCCTTAACAAAATTGATAAATGATATCAAAAAATTATTAAAATCTGATAAAAAAATAGATTTAAATGAAGGACAAAAATTATTAAATGAAACATCTGCAGCGTTGAAAGCAGATCAAAAGGCTTCTAATGATTCAATGGAAAACATGAAGGAAAAAATAAAAAGGGTGGAAAAAGAATTGGAGGATGGCATTGCAAAGGCTGAAAAATCAAATTCAAAGGAAGATTGGGCAAATGTTGATAGAATTTCTGTTAAAGCTAGTCAAACTGGAGTGGAAGCAGCAAAGCTTGGAAGACAAATTGCTGAAAATGCTGAAAAAGGAATTGACGCAATTAAGGAAATGAGAGAATTGGAAAATTTAATGAATAAACAAGTGGAGGGTAAAAAAATTTCCCTTTATTTTGAAGGCAAAATGTAAATTATAATGTATATTGCAGCTCAAACATCAGCCACATTCGCTTATCCTATTTGTGATAAAATACAGAAACATGGAATTGGTAATGACAGTAATGGTAGACATGGCTGCTAGTAAGAGTTTCTACTTGTTTTTAAAAAAAAATAATTAAAAATTTATTTTTTTATTTACCGTAAATGCTCGAATAATTACCCTCTTTAATAATTACCACCTCCCTTTCCTTCTCTAATTATGAAAATATTAAAAGAATCATTGTCAATTTTAATTATTGAAACATTATAAAAATTAATATCAAAAAATAAATGGATTTCATCCATGATTTATTGAGATATACCCCAAATTTAGCCCATCCGCTCAATTAATTACCCCCTCCAGCGAGAGGACGAAACAATAATTACCCAGAGTAATTAATCGAGCAGACATATACGGTAATTTAAAATTTATTGAATATTTTTTCAGTTGCGGTGAATATTACCCGTTCCATATAAAGCCAAATATTGTAATGGCACCTATCGATGCCATCGATAGGTTAATCACCAAAATATTTTTTAAATTTTTAAAAAATAGTTGTTGTCAATCTCGACATGAATGCTATGTAGAACAACTAAGCTTCGATGAGTGTAAAATTTTTCAAGGGTATCCAAAGGAATGCAGTGAAACTTCGTTCCGTTGTGGAAAGGCTTCGAGTATATGTCATATGTTGTTATGTAAATGTGATATGTGAGTTATACATTAAAACTGAAAATTTATTTTATTAATTTTTTAGGCAATTGAATCGATGTATATCAAGTTTGACCACAACAACTAAACAAAAATGCTTAGTTGGTGAAGCTAACATCATGCCAACTAACATTTTAAGCGGTCAAGCTGCTGAAGGTGTAAAAGATCAAATTAATCTAGCTAAGGAAACGATCAAGATTGCTGGCCCCATCATAAATAAAGAAAAGAAGCCGCTAGAAATGCCATCGTAAACGTAACTTTATTTTTAAATTTTTATTTTAATATTTTGTAAAAAAAATTCTCCATTTATTAGTTCAAAAATTGAAAAATAATTATTTTTTCATTGATATTTTTTATTAATTTTTAAAATTATTTTTTATTATATTTCTATAATTAATCTTTTTTTAGGGTGGTGAGTATGGTGGTGCCGCAATCAATGCTTCAATTGAATCTGCATTTGGACCAATTGGAACTGCAGCTGGTGAATTTGCTGGAAAGCTTGTTGGTAAATATGTTGCCGGAGCTGCTGCTGATTATCTTTTGAAAGATGAAGGTGTTGTTGATAAGATTGGCAATAAAATTTCAAGCTTTTTTGGTTGAAATTTAAATAAAAATTATGATCATTAAATTGTTTTTTGAAATATACAATATCGGAATTATTAAAATAATTTTTTTATTTAACAAAATTTGGATTAGTCCGATCTCTATGCTCCATATCCCTTATTTATAAATGTATTAACGAAAGATATGTACATAGCTTTTATTTTTTATTATTTTCTAATTAAAATATTTAATTTCAAATTGATTGTTTTAAATTGAAAAAAAAATAAAGATACTTTTTATTAGAATTATTTTTTTAATATTTTTGAAATATAATAGTTAATTATTTATTAGTGAGTCCTATTAAAAATATATTTATAAATATTTTAAAATTAAGATCATACAAATTGATGCCTTAGGAATTAATTAATGACAAATTATTTTATTGCAGGTTTCTCATTCGTACTTAATTTGAAGGTATTGTACTTTTAAATCAACATTGGCAGAAATCTGGCTTAAGGACCTCCAAAATTCTCAAAATTTTTGCCTGCTGCAAAAAATGGAAGACTTTTTGGCGTCTTTGGCACCAATCAGTGCAAACAAGAAATTAATAGAAAAGATTCATTTATGAGAGAAATATAAAGGATTTGAGCACGAATAAATATTTTCTAATTTAATTTGGATTGTACTTTTGATTTGGAAATTTAGTCCCTATTTACTTTAAAATCGAGATTTTTGTACTTTTGATCGGCATTTTGTCGATGAGAACCCTGTTTTATTGCCTTTTTATTTCATTTTTATCAAAATTTATTTATTTCAATAGAAGGTGAGTAATCTCTAAGAAAAATTTTTTTAGCATTCCTTAATCTGTTATAAAAAATCTAAAAAATAATTGAAATTTTTATTTTAACTTTATTTAAAAAAGCATTTTAAAGAATAGCTTTTGGTATTAAATAGCTCAGAATCAGAATTATGTTGACATTCTGAGTGCTGACATTTTTTACTCTGATTTCGTATTTTTTTATTTTTGATTACATTTTTTATTCATTTGCGATTTCCTGCTCCTCCTTTTGGTAATATAAAATAAAATTTATAAAATTATTAATTTACATCAATTATTCATATCCAAACTATATTTAAAAAATTATGAAATTTTTTAATTAAATTATATTATCTGATTCACCATAAATATTCATTAAAAATTAATTTAAAATTAAATATAATTAATACAAAATTAAATAATAAATTCTGATTCATCATAAAAATTTTTTTTAACTATATGGCTTGTAAAAAATTTAATTATTCATAGAATTGCTGTTTTCATTTTCAATTTTTCCCTTTTTTTATTGCTAAATTATATATTAGGGTTTCACTGGAACCGAAATTTTGACCGGAACCGGATCCAATTTGAGTTAATTAATTTTAAATTATTTTCTATATTAAAGAATTTTTTAATTTTATTTTCTATATTAAAAAAATTATTATTTTTTAATTTAAAAATGTTCATCAAAATTATATCATTATTTTCATATTTGTTGAAGGCAAAAAATTTTTTCTATTAGAATTTATTTTTTCATATTTCAAGGCCTTCAATGCGTCATTGAAACGAATCTGAATAAACCTGCACCAGTGAAACTTGGCGAATGTAAGGCGGATGGTAGTCTTGTGTGTACTGTACTTAAGTGTACAGGTATTAATTAATGCTAATAAATTTATACATATTTATATATGTGTGACAAGGATATGCTTTGAGTTAAAAATATTTTAAATTTTTAAAAAATGGCTAAATAACTTTATCAGGTTTCTTTTTTACGAATTGTGGTTATTGTACAGCTGCTAAAGTTCAATGGGACGATAACACAATATGCGATTGCTATATGTGTGACAAGGATATGTGCAATTCTGTTATTGAAAAGTTAAATAATACTAAGACCGAAGCTCAAGTTGATGTAGTTGCTACAGACCCTCCAAAACCTGTTGATATTGTTGAAGTTCCTCCACCTAAACCTCCAGCCACTCAAAACTTTGCTTTTGGGAAATATGTATTATGGCAATCAGTTTTTGATTATTTTCATGTTGATCGTTGGACGTTGGGGTAAATATTTAAATTATTTTATCCATAATATTTTTTATTTAAGTTGGGCTTCATCTTCAGACTGGGATTGTTAACAAAATTAAGAATCTTAAATAAAATTATAAAAAATAAATAAAAGATTATAATGTCTATTTTTTATTTTTTAAATAAATATGTAAATATTTAAATAAATTTAAAATAAATAAATCTAAAGTTTTTACTTTAAAAGGTAAAAAAATTTTTATTACAAATTTTTTATCGTAAAAAACTTTAATTATTCAAATAATTATTTAAATAATTTATTTAAATAAATTAAAAATATAAATAAAAAAATATAATAATAAAATGATTGTCTAGTTTAAAAATTAAAATCATTTTATATTTAAAATTAATAAAATGAGAAATATTTTTAAAAAAATTAAATTTATTATTAAATAATACAAAAACAAAAGTCAACCAAAACTAGTGCCAAAAGCTAACAAAATTTCAGATAAATATCTAGTGGAATCATTTTATATTTAAGATTAATGAAAAATTTTTTAAATTATTTTTTCATAAAATTATTATATATTTTCCCTTTAACATTTTCCTTTCCTTTTTGAAACAAATTTAAATAATATTGTAGCTAATTTTTAAAAATTTGTTGAATAGAGAAAAATTTTCAATAGAATTTACTGTTTGTTTAACAAAGATGAGGACAATAAAAATTATTTCTCGTCCTTAAATATACAACAATAGATTCTTCTTATCCAATTCACAAACAATTCCTTTAGTTATTTTATAATCTACATAGGTTTAAGATCGAGAGAGACCTTAAGTTAATTTTTATTGTTTATTTTTATTTATTTATTATTTAAAAAATATTTTAGCTTCCAAATATTAAAAATTGATTTTAGAATTTATAAAATTATGTAAAAATTTATTTTTTAAATATTTATAAAAAATTTATATAATATACTTTTACTTTATTTAGTAGGGTTGACCTTTGAAATTGTAAAGGTTTAGCTAGAAATTTTGATCAAACTTTATCTTGACCGATCTCTAATATATTTTATTAAATTCCAATTTTTACTTTTTTATATCCATTCTTTTCATGTTCTCATGCCTTAATATATTAGTCGGGTGACAACAAAGCATGGGAAATTAATTTATATATTTAAAAATAAAGTATCACACAAATGGTGCGCGATGAATGCCAAAAAGCAGGTGAGAATGGGAGAAAGAAAATAAAAACACGCGGCTGGGTCCTATTTTGTTTTTCTGTGTGTGTTCATTTTCTTTTATTTTCCGACGTCCTGCTGTTGAGAAATTTTTGGAAAATTTAGAAAAATGTGGGAATAAATTGTGAAAATATACATATTAGTGAAAATATCCGAAATACTAAAGAATAATGTGTGTGGGAAAGCACCCGTTTTAATCCATTTTAAACAGATTTTCATCAAAATAAATTAACTAAGACTTTAATTATTGTTTGTTTATGTAAAGAAATGACATTGTAGGAACAAAACGCGATTTAAAAAAATATCTAGATAAATTTACTGGCCTCTTTTATAATTTTGATTGAATATTTTTCTTAAAGGAAGTGATAAAAAATTTGTAACTTAGATTAATATGTACATATTTATTAGTGTTTAACATTTTCTTAAATTTTTTTTAATTTAATCGAGATAATTTGGAATAGTTTCATCCATTTTTTAGAATATTTTTAAATAAATATTTTCAAAAAAATATCTGTTATTTTTTCGTATATTCTTTTTCTAATCGAAATAATATGGAATAGTTCGTCAAACTTTATAATAATTTTAAATAAATATTTTCAAAAAATATCTGTTGGTAGAAATATGAGTAGAAGTGAGGAAGTTGAAATTAAATATATATTTATTTATTTAGCTAATCCTTTTCCTTCCATTTTTTGTTTTCAATCTCGCCATAATTTACTTCCTTTCTAGACTTATCCCTTATGTAAAAAGTAAGGGGAGAGAGTCAATTATTATTATTTTTTGCCTAACAATAAATCTAAATTCTGGTAAAAATAAAATAATTCGCGTGTCTTCTTACGTAATAAACAGAAGGTACGGATCAGTAAATTTATGAAGAATACCTCTCTCTGAAATTAATGGATATTGACACTAGAATGTGGATATTATTTGTAGTTTTATAAATAAAATATTTTAATAATTTTAAATTTATATTTAATGTGTTTTTCTAACTTTCATATACATATTTGTATTAGTGTTCGGCAAATGGTATATTTTTTATAATATAGGTAGGTATTTTTATATAATATCCATGTTACAAAATATTTAGTAATTTATTACAAAATATGTCATTTATATTTTCCATTTTCTAATTTATTTAAATATTTTGATTAAATTTTATTATTAAATTAAATTGTACACATTTAAAATAATTTTTCCTATTAATATTTAGGTATTTTATTAGTCCACCAAACCTCTTTTTTCATTTTTTTCTTTCACCCCCCCCCCCACCCCACCCCATTATTTTCAATTCCAGTAATTTGAATCCAAAATAATTTGTAATATTATTATTTATTTTAACAAAAAAAACTTTTTTTCCTATCCAACAAAGTTTTTGTTCATTATAAATATATGAAGGTCATTTACTTTTTTTGGATCCGCCGGGAGTCCCTTTGTGTTTGCGCGGCATTGCCTTCAATAACAATAGATTTATATAAATATAATTGGTCTTTTCATGGTCATCAAATGAAATGAGCGCATCCTTTTTATTAAAAATTTTCCTTGCACTTTTTCAAAAAAAAATATTATTATTTTAGATTTTGGATGAAATTTCTTCGATATATTTTTATAATAATTATTTATTTTTATCTACTATACATCCTCATTTTTATTCATTTTTTATAGAAAAGAATTACCACTTAAATTTTATTTTTAAAATAAAATTATTAAAATGAAGAATTTAATTGTGTTTTTGTTTAAAATTTAATTTAAATTTTGATTATTCCTGATAAAAAATAAATTTAAAAAATTGATTTTAAAATATTTTTT